GTGAACTGTTTTTAAAGACCAAGGCAGGCAGTGCTACACTTTTTTTACAGCTTTCAATATAGTGTCAACAGGGTGAAACAAACACATGTATGTTACATGACAGACTCAAGTAGCATGCAGTAAAATAGCTGGACACCCAAAGTGTGACGTTTCACAGATGAGTCATGCGCAGTTGTGGTTTTGCATTGACAAGCAGTCCGGAGCACAGCTACTGTATTTGCAAATTACTACATATCATAAAGAGGTGCCTTCAATGGAATGAACAAGTAATGAACAAAGCATGCAGAAAAATTTAGTTTTTAATCTAACCTCTTTTGCACAGGTAGAGTTGAAGTTGTTTTTAACCTAACCTCATTTCTCACATGTAGTTCTGAGCAAAGGGCTCTGGCCACAGGATGAGGTCTGAGAGCTCCCTGCAGATTTTGTTCCTTAAATCTAGCCTTTCATATTCATCTGTTTGTTCAACAGGGAATTAAAATATTTTGTACTTTATTTGAAGGATGTCTGAAAGCATCCCAAACTACATTTGTGTAGCCTGCTTACAGGAGATGCTATCATCAGAATTTATTTTTTTAATCTGAAGCCATCCAAGTGCAAGGAGCAGATTTCGCAGTCTTTGTTTATATGATCTCTGAGTTTTTGCTTGAAGACTGCTTAGTTTAGTGGTGTGCCAGACAGAAGACAGTTTGATGGAGGACAAACATTACGAGGCTGATGTAGCCCATCCACAATTGTCCTTATCTCTATCAGCCACCATGTTTTGGTCTTTCACACAGGTACTAAGTTATGGGCAAAACAGCAGTTTTAAGTTAGTCTCACAGGTAAGTCTGCACCATAAAACCTTAATGTGAGGTCACCTTTTTAAACTGTGATTTTGATCTCTGCTAACCTATCTGAGGGAAAAAACAATATTTGGTGTTTTTTTTCCACTGAATAGGAGATACATACATGGATATGTGCTCTGTTTATAATTATCCAAGCCTGTCATATTCCCCTGTGAACAAAAATATTCATAAAAGCTGTTTAAACCAGATGTTGTTGCTGTAGCTTAACATGAGAAAAATACACTTTGGTAACAGCATAGTAGTTCGTAGTTATCAAACCTGTCTTTATCTATATCTGTATGTTGGAGAAACTAACGTGTAATTTGAAAAAAGAAAATGTTGAAATTCACCTTTGATTAATTCATTTGACAAATACCATTATAGTGTTGTATGGTCATCTGTACAATGTCTTTAGTATGTTGTCTGCAGTATATGATGTATATAATCTTTATAATACAAGAATCAAAATTATTGCAACCAACCAAGAATGAAAATTCTACATACTGTAATACCTTTAATATGGTCAAAGTAACAATTTACTCAGCAGTAGCTTGCTGACGATTGTACCAAAACAATTGCTGTAACAACACCTAGTAGACAAACTATAAAATGATAAGACCCTGAATATGAGACTTATTTTACCCAAAATATTAACCAGTTTAGAATGGGTACCAATACAGGAATGCTACAATACAGTTAACAGTGTGTATAGTGCCTGTTGAGAGCTGTAGTTAAAAATGCACCCTAAACAGGCTCTTGAGATGAGCTCATGAGGATTGCAACACCTTTTAAGCTCCAGCGGGTTATGTGATTGTAACAGAGTCACACCAAATGAACCCTTTTACATAAGCATGTACAAGAGTCTGGAAGTGGAACTTGTTCTCTAATCCCATAAAATGCCAAGCAAACTGCACAACATTAATAACTATAATAATAATTTCAATGTAATAACAGCTACACGATAAAAGGAGCAATCCACACCTTGTGCCTTTTAAATCAATATATTACGTTTTTCTTAATTCTACATGAATGCAAAACACATTTTATAGTATACAGGAGATTTGACACTGATTGTATTCACAATGAGAACTGATACTGATATCTATCTCAAATTAACACCTGGCATTACTGGCAGACTTTAAGTTCTTCCAAGAATTTTGAAACGTACCATCATGGTATCAGTTTAGTGAACCATGAGTTAAGCACAAACTGTACAAAATGTTCCTCATCACTTTCACCATGTTACACCATGTTCCATTTTGGTTAAAATAATTTGAAATGACACTAAATAAATACTATAGAACATTGATCTTAATGCAGGGGGAAAAACAGATTTGCATTACAGACAAAAATACATATTATCCTACAGCTGCACAATCTGTCATCTGAAATTACTTAGGGATCAAATCATTCATGACACTTCATTTGAATGTGTCTACAGCTTCTTTCAGAGAGATGTTTTCAGTGTTTTCAAGGTTTGTTTTGTCCAATTAATAAAGAGCAGCATCCCTGTGCCATCAAAGTGCACACCTCCACAAGACCATCTATCCAACATGATATAATCTTTAGGTTTCTGGTTGTAGAAATATTTAACTAATTAATAAGCTCTCCTGTCTGAGTATTCTGAATTTAAGAATGTTTTAGGGATCATTTGAAATCAAAGTTTATAGTTAGATGTACCAATCCCATAAACACTTTCACTTTCTAAAATGGCAAGCCATGAAAACAGACGCTGAATCATTGGTTTTTCAAAAGATGTGTTTCATTTTTTTCAAAGTGCATCCTTGTAAAGGAAAATGTCAAATGTAGAAACAATAAACCCAAATAAGTGAGTTGATGTCACAGTTGTGAAACAATCTGAAATATTTTTATGCACAAAAAATCTTCAGAAAGGATTCATCAGATAGCTTTGTAAAAAAAATCCATGGCCTTACATTTTTCTAGTCAAAACATATTAGCTCAGAAGCTCAGAAGTATTTGATGAATGAATCAATAATGTAAAACGTAGGGTGGTAAAAATGTAAAAACACTGCAAAAGAGCAGGCCAAAGACATCCTTAATCTGTTATAATATTATTGGCGGTCTGGAAAATGCATAGATAAAATATTTCTACTTGACTTATGGAGATTATTTTTATAAAATCAAAAATACAAGTTGAGGAAAACTTATATGAAATTTTGGACATATCCTAAAATCTGTGGATTCTAAAAAATATCATTTCTTGTCTTGCCTTCAGAAAAAATGGTTGCCCCATATACTGTATATGCTCTTTATATTTTGATGTAAGCACACCTATTTACATTTTTAAAAAATCTAAATAAATCAAGATATTTTAAAATGTGATCGGATATAGTATGTTCAGACTTTCATTATTATAATCAGATACTATTTAAGATTGCTTTAGAACCCAGTATCTGAAGCAAGATTAAACACTAATTTATTAAATGTAATCTTCCTTGGTACGTTATACTTGTCAAAGACATTTCTTCTAGGATTTTTTGTATTCTTGTTTATGTTAGCAAAATGTAGCTAAATTCTGTGTTCTTGTGTAATAAATACATTTTAAATAAATGGTACCAATCCATAACTCAGAAGATTTATGGATTAGCAAGGTTTATAGAGGATGGTCTTAGCGGAAATAAATATCTTGCTCTCAAGGATATCTTCAGTAAACCTAGAAATTATATTTTTATAAAATAAGAACAGTTCAACAAGCAATAACACTTCTAAAAAAGAACAAGCCTTTTTAGAAGGCCTAAAGGAGGAAAGAAAGGAAAGGTCAGCAATAAACTGCTACAGTACTCAGTGGGCCCTTAGTCAAAGGCAGATGAGTTTTTTGAGTGATTTCTGAAAACAGTTGTATGAAAAATGTGATAAACATAGAACAGATCCATTTACTCATAGACTATAAAAATAAGACTTGCAGTTTCACAGAAACTGAAGTTTGTTTCTAAAGCATATTGTACTGTCAAAAAAGGTTAAGATCAAATATTTCAGAACCTTCCTTTTTGATGCAGTATAATTTTGTTTGACTGCAATTATAGTAATGTAAGGACGCCTTTTGGAGAAAAATGTTGACTGTCTTTAGTTGATACCAATACATTTATGTTTTATGATGTCCAACTAAAATAATTACATTCCAGCCCTATAAGAAAATACAAACAATTTGAAAAAAAAAGGTTGCATTTATCACTTCCTGTTGTTTCAGGCAAAGGACAGATGAGTTGAATTTTTTTACGCTTTTTGAAGTGTAAACAGGAAGACTGAAGAGAAGACATGTTACCACAGAAACAAGTTTGGCAACCAGTTGGAACAATACTGGAAGCTGTGTAAACAACAAGGATAGGTGCACGGTGCTCATGGAACAGAGCAACTTTGAGAACAAGATGGAAGAAAAGCAGTGAATTAAAAATGCACGATTTTTGGCCCTGTTAGAAACATAAATACAAATGTTTGTATCATCTTTCTTTAATAATTGTTCTAGCTTCAGACACAGAGCCTATGGTTTCAAAAACATGAGGTGATAACTGTTTTGTTGTTTCAGGAAGAAGCAACATACTGTACAAAATTACAAGAATTTACATATAAAACAATTGTTCTGTGTGTTTATCTTTGTCTTTTACGGGGCACATTGCTCTTCTGTCTATTTACAACACATTTAATCATAGTCACTCAACTGGAATTCTTGCTTATAGAACTAAGGCTCTAAAGGAAAAGTATAGCTATGTAACAGGAAGGATATATGTTCTATGTGTCTATTTAGCAATGGTTTCAGACATATTCAGTATTTATTTTATATTTACTGATGTTTTTTAAATTAAATTATTGTCACAATGAAAGGATTAAAACCATTTCGCATGCTTCATATACAACTGAAAATACAAATGTATATTTGTAGTCATGAGGAATTAACTTTTTCCCACTGAATAGCCCAATGTCTTTTGAGAACATCTTGTCCTGTCCATGTTATCTACTAATAACCTATGAAGCTTATTATTGTAGAGATTGCTTTTGGAAAAAAAAAACAGCCGCATATTATTTTACGCTATTTTGAAAGCTGGACAAAAGAAACTAAGAAGGTTGAATCAATCCATCGTTATACTTGTTTTTGTTTCAGACCCTACCCAATCCCCTCCCCCTCTCCACTGTTGCTAGGGGAAGTGATGTCACAGGACTATGGCAGACTGTTTCACACAGAAGGAGGGGGTTAGCAGAGGTAGTCAGTATTTTAAGCTAGAGAAGATAGCCATTAAAATCCGTCTCCATCCTCTCCACCGTTAAGAGGGATGCCATCCGAAACAACAAGAACATAATCTACACATTTCAAGCTTTCAGATAAGCCCCATATTGGTGTATTTGGAAAATCGGGGAGGTAGAAAAGGAATGGTGAAAATTGGATTGTGACAGAAGGAACAATATTATTAAAAATTGGAAGGAAGGGGGAGAGTGGTGAAAAGGGCAGATATAGAGGAAATATTGAAGGTTTCGGATATTATTAGGGGCTTAAATCGAACCTTCCGGGGGTTTGATTAAGAAAATTACTCCTGTTTACATTTTTATATAAGAATTAAAGCCATGGAACTGAGAGTTGGAAACAGATACAGACTGGGTAGGAAAATTGGAAGTGGATCTTTTGGAGACATTTATCTGGGTAAGTGGACTAAATTGATTCTGTAGATTGAAATTTAACTACAGTTATTTTTTGGACAGGACGAAGGTAAGTTGGGCTCATTTGTGTAAGAACACGGGTGCTTGTGTTATGACATTTATGAAAACGGTCTGCAATTTGAGTGAATCGTAGTAGTAGAAGGTAACATTCCCCTTAAACTGTGACGAGCACTTCTTGTTACTGTGCCGTATTTGCATTATCTGCTTCGTAGTATAAATGTGTCCAAGTAACTTAGCTGTATCCTGTTCCTTTTCACAGAATCTAGGATACCTTGTACTAAATAAGGTGAAGCGATGTGTAACTAATCGAGCTCTTTGTATCTCAACCCCCTTGTTACTAGACGGGAGTGCTCCTATTTAAAAATAAACCCGAAACAAATTCATTCCAACAACTTCTCTGACAAGGGCTTCGGTTAGTGAATCGTGCCTGCCGCTCATTTATATTACCTTTTAGTGTTGGAAACGGCGCCGTACACAATGCTATCTCGGGTTTTTGTACCTAATTGGAAGATCCCTTTGTTATGTTAAACAGAAATTGACACTTGGCTTCTTGGCATTTTGAACCTTCGGATTTCCACAGCCATCGCAAACCGGAACAAAACAAACGTATTTTTGCTCGTTTTTTTTGTACGCAAATCCCCCCAATTCAAACGCTGTTTTGTGATCTGCATACTTTTCTTTACCAGTGGTTAGTTACTGCTTAACCATAGATGTTAACTGTTACATTGTGTAGCTAGAGCACATACACCGTGCGGCGTTCTGGGTTCACAAAGGAGTTCCGAACCGACGATGGTCCTTTTTTTATCCGAATTTCGGTATTTTGATCAATTTCCCAGTCGAACCTGAAGTGAGAAACATCAAACAGGAGGACCTTTCTCTTGAGGGTGCATTGTTCTTCAGGCGACATTCGCTTCCGAGCGGTTAAAACGTAACACGAAGAGGCTTGTGTAGCAGTAAATCCTGTTCACCACCACACGTAACGTAGTGGAAGAGGTGGGGGTGTAAAAAAAATAGATGTTGATGTGTAAATCAAAACGAAACAGAGTATGCGTTATATAACGTGTGCAGTTGTAAGATCTGGGAGCCTGGTATGCTTTATTTAGCGGAAAAAAAACGTGTAGAGCAAATTGCAGGTTCTGTTTTCCCCCAGATTCTCGTTTGGAAGAGGAGTCACGACGGGTGGGTTTGTTTGTGTCCAACAATGGTCCTTTGCAGCGCCTGTATGCTTTTTAAGCACTCAGTGCATATTAAGCGTGGTCTGGATGTGAATCTCGTGGGTTACCAGTTCTGGCTGTCTGGTGTAAAGTTGGAAAGGTGAGGATAAGTTTCCCCCAGTATTATAACACAACACCAGAAACAGCCAGAAGGCCTGTGGGCAAGACGAACGGTATAAGGGATGTGTAAGACGATCCCTGTTGATTGGGGGTGACCTTTCCCATATGGATGTCATCTGTTACTATTGAGGTAGGCATTTTCCTTTAGTGTCACAGACTGGTTTGGCTTCTCAAGATGCATTCGATACAGGGATATAAATATGGACTGGTAAGTCCTCACTGGTTGTCTGATACGAGAAAATGTAGATTCCCATAGAACATCATTAGAAGTCCATTGTTATGACAGTAGCTATAAGGTGTTTTAAAATGGTGTTAATGAGATGAGCTGTTTTGTATGAATTGTACTTTCTCCTTAAATCAGCTTTGTATTTTATATATCTCCTTTTGGGTGTACACACAAGGCCACCTCTGTAAAGGCTCTCTGTCTTTCATTGTCTCGCAACAGTTTTTATGTTGGTACATTGTGATGGACGTTTTGTGCAGCTGCTAACATGGAGACCATGTTAAGGAATTAATTAATACGGATTTAATCATGGCTTTGGAATGAAACCTAAAACCTATTACATCAGTTGTAGTCAACAGATGCTCAAACACTTAGTCTGCCTTGGTTACGCTGGTGTTTAGCGCAGTATCACTAACTTCATACTTCTGATTTAGTGTAAGTTGGCTTTTTTGCAAACCAAATTATAGCAAATCAAAATGAGTTTCTGTCATTGACTGAAGTTTAATAACATGAAGTGTTTATTCTTAGTCCTATGCATTTGATCTTCAGAATGTCCTTGTTTTGGCATCAGACCTGGAGGCTCTGTAATGTTTTCAACTCCCAAGTTTTTTTTGTTTATTTGGTAAAGTTACAGCTAGTCTGAGCTGGAAGTTAAGGACCTTCTATTGGGTTACTTGAATCCTCATCAGGGTCAGCAGACTATCCACTTCTCCAGCGGTCCCTTCTCGCCTCTATAATGTTTAATCTCACTGCCTTTTCTTGTATGGTTGGCTCTGATTGGAGAAACTGCAAAAACCTTTATTTGATGTAAAAACTGGAAGGGCCTGTTTCTCCGGATCTGGAGAAGCAATTTTTTTAGACCTATTAAAGTACATGCTTTACTGCCATCAGCTGATTTATACTTGTCAGTTTTCCTATATTAATACAAAATGGTGGCTGCATGGTTCAAACATAAATTGGTATTCAAGTTAGTATTGCTGGTGTCCTAGTCCTTAAAATATGGACTGTGGCATGGGAAGTCATTTTGCAAATACTCTTATGTACAGAAGCAACAAGAGAAAGATGTTTCTGGTTCTGTAGTATTTCTTGCTTGAGCTCTACCCTTTTAACTTAATCATAGCATTAGGAATACCACTTAGTGTCCTGATGACAGACTTGACCCATAACACTACAGCTGAGTGTGGGAAATCGAGCAGGTACAAGTGAAGAATTCCTTTGTGACAGGCTTGTTTCTGTATTGCTGCACAGAACCAGGTGGTCACACCATGTTTGCTATAGGTCTTGGACACGGGAATACTTTAACAGAGCTGGGGAATCGGGGACTGTGTAATAGGTTTTATTTGGCTCTAGTGTAGTTTTCATGATGTGGATAATTGAAGACGGAAATAAAAGGCCTGCGGGGTTATGCTGCACCATCTATGCCAGAGTCTTACTTAGTCCCAGGGAACAAAGTGTGCTGCACGTCATCTTCCTTGAAAGCAGCCAGATGTTACAGTGCAGCAGTGGAAAGTGCTATAGTTTGTCATGAGGTGGAACTTTGGTCACATGTTAAAGACTGTATAATAAATACAAATTAAAATAATTTTGTGTCACTTAGATAAAAAAAATATATTGAGGGATCTGTGCCTTGGTTATAAAGTCATATTTGACCAGCACATTCTGTTGTTTATGTAGGAAGAAAAGGCAAAGAATATTGCAGCCTTCATGGCCATGTTGTCTATTGCCATGCAGTCAGTGTTGCATCCTGATTTTTTTAAAACTTATTTTAGATCTTAATTAGTTAAGTCTTTTTTTAAATTTGAGATGTTCAGTATTGTAAGAGATGTACTCATCTCAGTTGTTGAAATTACACCATTTTTACAGCAAGTGTTCCAGTAGATAGGTCCTGCCAATATGCATCTAGGTTTTCATTTTTAATTAAAAGTTGTTGGGTAAGAATGCATATGAACGTGAATGCTTGTGTGTTTGAATGCTCACATCCATCTGAAATGTGAAGTGTATGACCACTAGATTTTGTACATCTTTTTTGCTGTTGCTTTTTTTCTTCATTTTGTGACTTCATGCATGATCTTCATATAAGTCAAACATTTTTCTTATGACACTAACTCCCAACATCAATAACCAATATCCTAATAACTAGCCAGTTGTAAAATTGAAGAATGTTTATGGAACATTGTTCTCATTCTAGCCAGCGGTTATCTGGATTATGAATAAAGTGCATCAGATTGCTAATCACAGCCTTTTTTTTAGCTGTTTAAGTGGCTCAATTTTGTCACTGTACTAGGAAGAGTAATTTGATTATTGATGTCAGGCTAAGCACCACTTGTGGGATCTGTACATGTAGTTCTCCTTTTTGTTGAAAAAAAGAGATTAACAGCAGTTTGTTTACTTTATCCCTGGTTGTACAGTCTTGGTGTTTAATTTCCCTATTTTAGTGAATGTAGTGTAAAAATGGGTGGCATTTACAGACTATATTTTTGCTTTGTTTTTGGGTTCTCTGATAGATTTATTTGCCCAGTGTAGGTTACGCATGCCTTCATTTTCCCAACTTCTTTTGTTTCATGTAGAAAATTAATACTCTGGTGTTTGTCCAGGTTCTGTTTTAGCCCATCTAGAATTCTCCAACACTGATCCTTGAATAATACTCTCACAATGTGTCTTTCCCAGCTACTCCTTGACCAGCATACTGGCACTTCTTTTGAAGGTGTACATCAAATATTAATATGCTGTGGCCTGCCAGCGAATTCACAAACTGTTTTCTTATACAGATTGGTCACCCCAAGGTCCTAGTGAGGGTGTTATAGCTTGTTTGCCATCAGTTTCTTTCCCTTCTGAAAGATTAGACATGTCAGATGGCTGCTGATATTAACCTTGAAGGTGTCAAAGAATGTTGTTAGCAGTTGTAAGTGAATACATCACCAGTTACAAATACTTGCTTTATAATAGCTTAACTCTGATTTTAACTTGCTCTTTTGTTTTGGTCTTTTACAAGTTGAAGCTTAACCATTATAACCTTTTTGCAAGTTACAAAATAAATGCTAGTTGGTAGTGGTTCAGTGAATAGCCCAGCTTTGCATGTGATTATTGAACAGTCAACTGCAATAATCAGTGCTTTTATGTTTTTAAGTAAAGGCATAGTAAGATATCCCTTTACCTTATTAAGTTGCTATTTCTACCTCTACTATGGTTATTCATTTGTGTCTGATCTCATAAACAAGCCATTTTAATTACAAGGTATGATGTAAACTTGCCTGTCCAGGTATTTAATCAGTCATTAGAAATTCAGCAATCCTTTTAATGTAACTGGCTTGTAGTTTAATTTATAATTCTGTACATACACAATGAGCTCAGCAGTGTTTGTAACGTTAGTTGGGAGGAGCATTTAGCAACAAGCAAAAAGCACTTGGAAGATTTTGTATAGCGTAT